TAATTATTTTGTTAAGCCATATTCTAACATGAAAACAGTTAATTTTTACTATGGTACGCAAACAAAATTTGCTAGGTATATTTGATTTTGTAATAAAAACTTTTTACTATGAAAAAGTGTAAAAATTACGTTATATATAAATATAAACGCATATTTAAACTGTTTATCTGGGTGTATGACATTATTTGTGTTCCTTTCTTATTATCGCAACGCTATCATATTACGCGCGCCGTCAGCATCTTCGCGTTCGATGGTACTGTGACACATCGTATTAAGCGTACTCTCTATTTAAATCATTAAATAAAAAACGTATGATAAAATATTTTTGCGTGCGAGAAGAAGATACAACGGGAGTGACAACGCGGCGGGAAAGATGACAAACATAAGAAGAAGAAGAATGGTAAATATATGCAGTAAGTGTATGCAAGTATTTGTTGCCGATGCATTTTTGAAGAGGGCGGTGGGCGGCGGCGGGTAACGAAAAAAATATGGAACGCATAGCGGCATCGCTGTTTATGTAAACCGAGCAACTAGGCCCCAGCTATATGTTTACATAAACAGCGATGCCGTCGACCGGGGATCTTTCCGCGCCTTCCCCGCGCTACGAATACCCACCGCGCCTACGAGTTTCCCCCGCGTCCTGCGCTCCCCTCTAGCCCCATGGGTTAGAAGCCGCCTAGCTTAACTACTGTCTCTGTTTAACGGCAACGAATTTGTTAGGAAACAATAATAAACTTAAACAATATATCATTGTTAATTTTGTAATATAAAAGTTAGAATAGGATATCAAATTTTGTTTTATTACAGTCGATTAAGTTAATTGGCGTTGCTAACTTACTCTATCGAGCTCGTTAGAGCGAGTAGGAGCTATGGTTGGAGAAAGTAGGAGCATGTTGGAACATGAGATGCGACCAAACCTAAGAACGATATACAGATGTTGGCTATACTGCTGATTGAGTTAATCGTCGATTCAGTTAATCGGCGTTGGTAACTGTCGCCCTAAGTAGTGTCAATCAATCTTGCCTTGCATTAATTGGCAGTTACACGAATTATTTTTATTTCTTATATTATAATTATACTACATTTATAGTATTCTAAGGACGACTGTTAGCAACGCCGATTAACTTAATTGACAGTAATAAAACAAAATTTGATATTCTATTCTAACTTTTATATTACAAAATTAACAATAATGTATTGTTTAAGTTTATTATTATTTCCTAACTTAGTTAACAAATTCGTTGCCGTTAAACAGAGATGTAAACCATAAGTGAATTTGACAAAGTCTCAAATTTTGTTCCAAATGAAAATGTTCCAAAAAACTGGTCCAGCTTTCAAAAACAAAGTTTTTAATAGCCCAGTCAGTTGAGATAAAGTCGACGAGTCCCATCTTCAATAATACCTGAAAATGAATTTCGTAAAAAAAGCATCTCGTACATAATAATATTTAGATAATTTGCGGGAGGAATAAAATATAATATTACTTGTGTTTATTACATAACCATGTAATAAACACAAGTAAATCCAAATTTTGTTCCAAACATCTCTTCGTAAATTCCAAAATTTGAGAAAAATCTTCTTGACGTTTTCTGGATGGATTCATTAATAAGAGGCTTTACTTTACCACAAGGAAACCTCGACGAGAAATGCATCATGATCCTTACCTCCTCGAGGTTGATAAAATAAACTCATTCGACATATTTTTGCACTATATGAAAAATTTGCCCCACGAACCGAGTTATTAATTATTATTAATTAAAGTTGACAGATATCCAGAAGAAATCCGTTGCATCGATTGCATAAAGGATTAAACAAATTTTCTGCTTTACAGACAAATATTTAACCAAGCCAAATACTCTGCTGTAATCTATACCACCATCGATGTGACGGTTTTCCTAACCAGAACAGTCATCAACTTTAACGATTAATATCTCGGTCCACGGTGTAATTTTTTTTGCAGATTCGTTCATTCCGTACAAAAACGTGTCGAGTAAGTCTAAAATTGTGTATTGCAGAAGCAGAAAATTACTTACGTGTTCCTCTACTACCATCGATGTGACGAATTTCCTAACCTAACCTAACCAAAAGTGTATACACTAAGGCTGAGTTTCCACTGAGCGCGTCACGCGTCGCGTCATCGAAGGAAAGAAAGAGAGGGGTTGCGTATTTATATAATCTTATCTCTTTCTCTCTTTCATGATGCGACGCGTGACGCGCTCAGTGGAAACGTACACTAAGGGTACGTATCCACCGAGCGCGTCACGCGTCGTGTCGTCCACCGCGTCACGATGCGAAAGAGATGTATACTCCTGTCTTTCTCTCTTTCGCGTCGTGACGCGGTGGACGACGGGACGCGTGACGCACTCATGGATACGTACCCTAATAATTGTCGTGTCTCCAGATCGCGGCACTCGCTGATCATGTATATGTATAATAATAATAATAATAATGTAACTAGCTCTCCTTGTGTAAAGAATATTAGAAACTAGCGCTCCTTGCGGAAAGAATGTCAGACGGACACCAAAGGAATGCGCGGAATGTGGTCGACGACAATGATAACAATGACGACAACGACGTATCTGAAACTCAATCTTCTGAAAAGTAGCAGTTCGGAACTTTTCGTCGCGATATCTCCGCTCGTAGGGGACGTAGAAAAAAAATAAAAGCACTTTTATCATACAATCCGTGTGGTGGCTATCGATTGAGCATACATAGAACGCGATCGGTTCAGCCGTTATTGAGATCCAATAATCTCGATCTGCCGCAACTCGTTGGTTCGCGTAAAGGAGGCACGGAAGTGTCGCTGCACGTAGCTTAGCGCCGAGACACTGCCGGTGTCTCCAGATAACATGAGTTTAATAGGCTAATCCCTTTATAATTATTGGGTCAGTTTCTCTCCCGTTTCTTGTATATATAGGGTGCTTTCCAATTGCTTAACACATCTTAACACAAACGTATACAGGAATGCACAAAGTGTAACGTTGTGCACGATTCAATTGGAACAGAATGTGTTCGCTGTGCAAGGTTGAGATTCGTTTTGGATGGAATTAGATTAAATGTAGCTTTTTCTACCTGTATTAAACAAAAAAAAGTAAAAGTGCCGGTCACTCAACGTTTCCCAACCTCATTTATATCTGCCACAGTTAGTAACATATAATTGTCACTAGAAAACACAAGCTTACACAGCTGTCGACTGAGGACGGACGTGTAGTATTGTGTCGACGATAACGGACAATT